CTGTATACTGCGGCCATGACATGCGGCGACGGGGCCTCGTCTTTGTAGACGGTGACGATCAATGCAACGATAGAGGCAGACGCGAGGAGGCTGTCCTCGTCGGCGGATATCGTGCCCGATGAGATTGGGAATTTGATCGCGAATATGGTCGATGGGAGGGCCCATTTTGTGTTGACATCTCCAAATTCGACGAAGAGCAAGTGGACGGGCTAATATACGATGGTCCGTCTGTGTTTGATGAAGGACCCAAGGTGGTGGAGGAGCGTCTTATTGGCGAAGTGGACGGTCTCTACAATTGTCCGCCGATTTTCGATGAGGAGCCTCCGGGACTGGAGTAATTCCATCATGTTCCGGGTATCAAAATTCAGCTGTTGGAAGAATTGGTAGTTCTTCTGTTGCGCAGGCCCGAGCTTCTCTCCCATGGGAATTTGTTGCGGCCTTGCAAACAGATGTTTTTTGGTCCCCACGATGACTTCAAAGTTCTTTGTGTGGCAGCTGCATATATGTCTTGCCATGAATTTCAAGGGGGTGATACCATGGAGGTGCGACATTCAACCTTCGTGTTCGACAAGGGGAAACGTCGGGTGATGATTGCCATGTGTACGACCTCGGTGTCGGCATGTTTGGTGCGGCTTCGAGGGCGAAGCCTTCAGAAACGGGGGAGAATGATGCAAATAGTTTATTATTAGTTTAGTACTTAAATATTTAGTGGCTTGGTGGACAAGATAGTTTTTAGGGTTTTAGATGTCTTATTTAAAGACCCCTCTTCTTTGTAATTCAGTGGTTGAGTATGAATTATTGAAGAAAAAGATGATTTGATATCATGTTTAGATGTTCTTAAGATTGCAATCTCATTAATATCGTCCCACTCGTACGCTTCTCTACATCAGGGAGGCTCTTTCAGACGTCCCTTTTGGCTTCGAGGGCGATGCTACCCTACCTCCAGATCCTGTCTGGTGGTCGAAAACCTTAGTGCGAACCCTTTCTTGGTCGATGTTTGTCCCATTTTTGTGTCTTTAATTCATGCTTATTTTCTTTTCGTTTTCCCCCATTTGTAGGATTTTTGTAGTTTATTTGGTCCATTTCGTTCGTTTTGTGTTTTTGTCTTTAGTTTATATTTTTGTATCTTTTTGCTGTGTTTTGCTTCGTGTTTTTCTAAGTTGTGTTTTCAGGAGGTAGGTTGTGCCGGTCGAGGTTAGAATTGCGTGAGCCGAGACTGTGATATCAAGAACATCCGTTACCGAGCCCAGAAAACTCGAGGAAGGACTGAAAAAGCCGACAGAAACTGTGCCCAGAAAAAGTCGCGACTCGCGAGATGTCTCGCGACTCGCGAGTCAAGTCGCGACTCAAGCGAATGTCGCGACCCGCGGAAAAAACAGAGGCTTATGGTGCAGTGTCGAGCAGAACTCGCGACTCGCGAGATGATGTCGCGACTCGCGACACAGAGTCGCGACTCGCGAGATATTTCGCGACTTAACCCCAGAAATTTATATTTTGACGGCGCGCGACTCGCCAGGAAGTCGCGACTCGCGAGCGAAGAAAAGGTCCATCTCGCGACTCGCGAGTAAGTCGCGACTCGCGACTTTGCCGGGCGCGAATTTCGAGGACGGGATTTTTAGAGCAGAATTCGACCCTAGGGTTCATTATTCAGTTTTCAGACTTCGTTTTTACACTTTTTCTCTGGAGAAAACCATTCCTTTTCTTTCTTTTGCACTTTTGATTGGTTTTGGAGATTGAAAAACTCCTTTTCTTTGCTTTGGATCTGGATTGTTCATTGGATTTGACATTGGATTCTCTATATAAATCGTAAGTTATTTTTCTCAATTCCTTTGTTGATGATGATGGCTTGGGTTTGTGTGAATGTTAATGTTGAATTCCATATGAGTAGCTAAATCCACTCGCTAGGGATAGGGGATGATTGATTAGGTTCGTTATAATTGAGTGCTTTTGATTGTTCATGTCTATTCGAGTTGTGTGAACCATAGGGTTAGGAGATTGATCACCTTTCTAGCCTAGATAATCAACGTGTAGAACCGAGAGGGGAGACGTTGGTAGAATTAGGCTCGTTTAGAATAGCTTTGTTCGGAAGCGTATAATCTATGAGTTGTTGGACTTGATAGTTAATCGTTAACGTTCACTCTCTTGTTACGAAGAGTTATTGAGAGTGAACCTCTGAACGAGAAACGACTCAAGACCTTTAACCGAGCAATCAATTGCCGGTGATTGTGTTAGAACCGAAAGCAATTATCCCCGATTCCCTAGCAATTTATTCATTCAGTAAATTCATTAGCTATTTGCCTTCATTTAATTTAGTTTGCGTCAGTAGTTGGTAATTGAAACCCCAAGTATTGAAATAGAGTGTTTAGGAATTTTTCTTCTATTTTTCGTGACTGAATATACGCACAAGAATATCCGGCTAACCTTCCTTGCGATACGACCCGGGGACGAATCTTTCGATTCTACTCCGGTAAAAATACTGACAACAAAATTGGCGCCGTTGCCGGGGAAGGTTTAGGATTATAATTGTGCGCCTATTCATCTTGTTTTTAGTGTTTCTCTTAATTCTTGTGATTTTGCTTGTTTCCGTGTTTCTCTTGATTTCTTTTTATTTGTTAGGTGTTAGTTCTCGTTTTATTTTGTTTTTATTTTGTTTTATCATTGGTGCTCGTAACCCTTGTTGGTCTTAGTGTATGCGTACCAGGAGTGGACGCAAATTGCTATCTCCGATCAACAAATCAGTCAACGAGAGCCTGAGGGAGCTGCTGGAAGAGCTGATTCTCGAGTCTAACGAAGGAAACGAACACTCCCCGAAATCGTCAGAAGGCAGTAACGTCGTCATGGATGAACAACAGCAACAACTGCCTCGCAACACCCTTCGAGACCTAGCCCATCCGACAATTGGGCCGATAACCTCATGCATCCGGTTGCCACAAGAAGCTCGGAACTACGAGCTTAAGATGATCCATTACAACCAGCTGCCATCCTTCCACGGGCTCCCGAATGAAGACCCGCTTAACTTCATTCGGGAATTCTACAATGTGCTACAGACCTTCCCTCTCCACGGGCTTACAGAAGAGCAACTGAAGATGAGGTGTTTTCCCGAGACACTAAAGGACCGGGCCAAGTCCTGGTTCATGACCCTCGCACCGGACTCTCTCACTACCTGGACTGACGTATACTCGAAGTTCATTGGGAGGTACTACTCCCATCAGAAGACCCAGGAGCTCCGGTCGCAGATCGTCTCATTTGCTCAACTACCGAACGAGCCTCTTCACGAGGCTTGGGAGCGGTTCAAGGACCTCCAGCGGCAGTGTCCTCATCACAACCTCTCTCCGGGGCTACTGATCAACTGCTTCTACGACTCCCTCCATCAAAACTTGCAGTATATGGTTGACAATGCGGCTGGAGGAGATATTGGAGCAAAGACAGCTGAGGAGATGTTCGCAATTTTTGAGACGATGAGCACGAACTCGTCGCAGAAGAGCAGCCGGGGGAAGAGAGTGGTAGTGAACGAGGTCGGGCGGGGAAGCAATGTGATGGCCCAGCAGTTAGCTTAGCTCACAGAGCAGATGCGTCTACTTAATGCACGAGGAGCTCAGCCGATTCAGACCATGGCCATTGACACGTGTGGGGCTTGTGGAGTCCCAGGCCATAGGTCTGAAGTGTGCCCTTCAGCTTTCGACCAGGAGTTCGGTGAGCAGTATGCAGATGCCAGCGCCTTACAAGGATACCAAGCCCGGCCTGGCAATGGCCCATATTCGAATACGTACAATCCAGGATGGCGGAATCACCCAGCTTTCTCATGGTCGAACAACTCGAACACCCTTCAGCCACCCCGTCCAAATTTCATGCAGCAACAACCTCGACCCAATTTTGTGCCCCGTCCGAACTACCAGCCACAGCAGCAGCAGCAGAGGGGACCAGAAGCCGGGTCAAGTTCAAACATTCAAGACGATGTTGCCAAAATCCTTCAGTTTATGGCTAACAGAGAGCAGCGAGATGTCAATCAGGATGCCTCCATCAAGCGCATTGAGACACAGTTAGGCCAACTGGCTACTCGGGTCGGAACTATTGAGACCGAGATGAACAAAGGGAAGTTGCCTAGTCAGCCCGAGGACGCTAAAGCCATCACTGTACTTAGAAGCGGGAAGGAGGTGGACAACAAAGTACAGATGCCCGAGCCCGAAGATAAGGAGACTCATTCAGAAAAGATCAAGGAGGCAGAGCCGGGGAAGGAGACAGAAGAGCCGGTGCTACATAAGTCGCCGAATCCATACAAGCCGCGTATCCCTTTTCCGGACCGACTTAGGAACGAGAAGCAGGAAAAGCAGTTCCGAGATCTTTTCAGTATGCTTTCCAAGGTAAATGTTAACTTGCCCCTCCTTGACGTGATCAAGAATATGCCATCCTATGGGAAGTTTTTTAAAGACTTGGTGACAAAGAAGAGGAAGTTCGAGGATGGAGAGAAAGTGGTTGTGTATGAGGCGGCAAGCGCAATGCAGCATGACTTGCCCAAGAAGGAACGGGACCCCGGTGGTTTCATCATTCAGATAGCCTTGGGAAACGGGAAGGTAGCTTCGGGGATGCTGGACCTCGGAGCCGGAATAAACCTCATGCCCTTCTCGATTTTTCAGAGGCTTGGTCTTGGGGAGTTGAGGCCGACCCGCATGTGCCTCCAGTTAGCGGACCGTTCAATATGGTATCCGAAGGGGATAGTCGAGGATGTTCTCGTGAAAGTGGGTAAGCTTATCATTCCTGTCGACTTCGTTGTTTTAGACGTTGGAGATGTGCACGAGAATGGGAAGGATCACACCATCCTTCTCGGGAGACCTTTCATGGCGACCACGAATACCCTTATTGATGTGAAGAATGGGACCCTGAATATGACTGTGTTGGGGGAATCGGTGTCTATTTCCGTGCGGGAAGCTATGTCAGCTTCCTCGGTTAACTTTGTAGAAGAATGTGCTTTCGTTGATCTAGCCGACCCCTTTGTTGATGAGATGGTCATTCACGAGTTCGAGGAGATATCTATGCCGGTTTTCGAGTATGAGGATGAACCTATAGTTGAGCTTTTTGAAGCAGGAGAGGGCCATTCCCGAGCTGAGGCCACACTCGAGCTTAAGGAGCTGCCCAAGCACCTTAAGTATGTCTTCTTGGATGATGCCCAAGAGAAACCGGTGATCATTTTTGCTGAGCTTGACCGTGAGGAAGAAGAGGAGCTGATTGCTATGCTCCGGAAGAACCAAAAAGCAATCGGGTGGAGCCTGGGAGACATCAAAGGGATCAGTCCATCTACATGCATGCACCGGATTATCTTGGAGGAGGGAGCCAAGCCGTTTCGGGATAGCCAGCGACGGCTAAACCCGAATATGATGGAGGTGGTCAAGAAGGAGGTGTTGAAGCTTTTCTCTGAAGGGTTGATCTATCCAGTGGCGAGTAGTGAGTGGGTCAGTCCTATTCATGTGGTGCCCAAGAAGGGGGGCATAACCGTGGTCGAGAACGATAAGAAGGAGTTGGTCCCCACCCGCATCACTACTGGGTGGCGCATGTGTATTGACTATCGGCGACTGAATGCGGTGACGAAGAAGGACCATTTCCCGTTGCCGTTTATTGACCAGATCCTTGATCGTCTTTCGGGCCATCAGTTCTACTGCTTTTTGGATGGACTCTCTGGCTACTACCAAGTGGCTATAGCACCTGAGGATCAGCCAAAGACGACTTTCACGTGCCCATTTGGCACCTTCGCGTTCAGACGGATGCCCTTTGGCCTATGCAATGCACCGGGTACATTTCAGAGGTGCATGTTCTCCATCTTCTCGGACATGCTTGAGGACTGCCTGCAGGTATTTATGGATGACTTCTCTATCTTTGGTGATTCATTTACGCATTGTCTCCATAACTTGTCTCGTGTCCTTGAGCGTTGCATTGAATCTAATTTAACTCTGAGTTGGGAGAAAAGTCACTTTATGGTTAGGAGTGGTGTTGTGTTAGGCCATGTTGTCTCTAGTAGGGGGATGGAAGTAGATAAGGCTAAGGTAGATGTTATTGAAAAACTTCCCCCTCCTGTGAATGTTAAGGGGATTAGGAGTTTCTTGGGGCATGCGGGGTTTTATAGGCGTTTTATTAAGGACTTTTCGAAAATTAGTCAACCATTATGCCACTTGCTTGCTCAGGATGTACCATTTATTTTTGATGATGCTTGCTTGAGTGCTTTTAATGAACTAAAGAGCAAGCTTGTGAGTGCCCCTATTGTCATTGCCCCTGATTGGTCTCTTCCTTTTGAAATTATGTGTGATGCATCTAACCTTGCAGTGGGCGCCGTTTTGGGTCAACGAGTTGATAAGTTGCTTAGAGTGATTTATTATGCTAGTTTGACTCTTAATGGGGCCCAACAGAATTACACCACCACCGAGAAGGAACTTCTAGCCGTGGTCTTTTCTCTTGAAAAATTTAGATCTTACATTTTGGGATCTAAGGTAATTATTCACTCAGACCATGCGGCTTTGAAGTACCTTTTGAGCAAAACTCATTCTAAACCAAGGCTCATCCGGTGGATTTTGTTACTGCAAGAGTTCGATGTAGACATTAGAGATAGGAAAGGTTGTGAGAATGTAGTTGCTGATCACTTGTCACGCATAGTCCCATCTGACTCATCATCTTCATTGATTGTGCATCATTCTATTAATGATAATTTTCCTTATGAGCATGCGCATGAAGTGTCGAAAAGTGCTTGGTATGCTGACATTGTGAATTTCTTGTGTTGTGGGAAACTGCGGCCTGACCTCTCTTCCCAAGAGAGAAAGCGTTTTATTTCTGTGTGTAGGGACTACTTCTGGGATGAGCCGTTCCTTTTCAAGATGGGAAAGGACGAGGTGCTTAGGAGATGTGTACCGGAAGAGGAGCAAGTCGATGTCCTTACATTTTGCCATGAGTTTCACTGTGGAGGCCACTTTGGCGGTCAGAAAACCGCCTTTAAGGTACTACAATCAGGTTTGTTCTGGCCATCACTTTTCAAAGATGCTCACACTTTTTGTCGCTCTTGTGATCGATGCCAAAGAACTGGGAATATAGGTCGCAGAAATGAGATGCCCTTGACTAATAACCTTCAAGTCGAAATTTTTGATGTCTGGGGCATTGATTTTATGGGACCATTTCCTAAGTCTAATGGCTATGAGTACATTTTACTTGCCGTAGATTACGTGTCTAAGTGGGTTGAGGCTATCCCCACAAAGACATGTGATGCTAATATCGTGATCAAGTTTGTGCAAGGGTATATATTGAGTAGGTTTGGGTTCCCAAGAGCAATTGTGAGTGATGGAGGGAAGCACTTTTGCAACAAGCTTTTCGAGAAGCTGATGAAGAAGTATTGCATATCACATAAAGTGGCTACTCCCTATCACCCACAAACCTCGGGCCAGGCGGAGACAAGCAATAAGCAGATAAAGACCATCTTAGAGAAGACGGTCAACTCATCGAGGAAGGATTGGTCGAGCCGGCTTGACGACGCCTTGTGGGCCCAACGAACAGCATACAAAGGCGTCTTGGGAATGAGCCCTTTCAGACTCGTCTATGGGAAGTCTTGTCACTTACCAGTGGAGATTGAGCACAAGGCCTTGTGGGCCATTAAGAAGACGAACCTTGATCTGGATGCAGCCGGAAAAGCCAGACTGTTGCAACTATCAGAGTTGGAAGAAAGAAGGAACGAAGCATATGAGAATGCCAAGATCTATAAAGACAAGGTGAAGAGACTCCATGATGCCCACATTGTTAGAAAAGAGCTGGTACCGGGTATGCGTGTTCTTTTGTACAATTCCCGACTCCGTCTTTTTCCGGGAAAATTGAAGTCCCGGTGGAGTGGCCCATATGTTATTGAGGAGGTGTTGTCTTTTGGGGCCATTCGACTTCGCAATCCAGCTAACGGCGAGTTATTTGTGGTCAACGGACAGCGAGTGAAGCCATACTTCGATGGGGAGTTTGGGAAGTATCACGTCGAGACCATCAGTCTCGGCGACCCCGCGTATCCTTGATTTACGGCACCAATGCCGAGCTCTCGGCTTAAAACCGAGCTTTTATTGTACTATGTGTATATATATATTATTACCTGCTTTATTTGATGAAAAAAAAAGAAAAAAAAAAATCGCGTCTCGCGAAACATGTCGCGAGTTAGCCAGCGCCTTATGGCCTTCACTCTCTGTTTTTCTCGCGAGTCGCGGAACAAAGTCGCGACTCGCGACATTGAAGTCGCGACTCGAGGGAATTTCGCGAGTCGCGAGTCGCCCCACATATATTCGACTGTCGTCTCTGTTTTTCTCGCGAGTCGCGACTCGTTTCGCGATTCATGTCGCGACTTACCTGTAACGATTTAAATTGACGGGCTCTATTTTTGTAGGGAACGTCTATCTATCTCTCACGGTAACAGCACCTCGCGACCGAACCCTTACCTCACATTCCTCATCGTCTCCACACCGACCGACCGCCGGCGACGAATTCCCTCCGACCGTCCACGCTCCGATCACCGGTGTCTCGCTCGCTCCGTTCGTCGCCCTCTCTCTCTCAATCGCGACTGCAACCCTAACCCCCAAAGTCACGGAACTCCGACCACCACCGACGAACGCCTTCGTGCACCTTCCACCACCGACGAACGCCTTCGTGCACCTTCCACCACCGTCACCATCTCCGTTCGTCTCTTCCGACCATCCACCACCGCGACCTGCTCTCCGGCGAACTCGGCTCCTCCAATCGCCCACAGTCGCTCGTCCCGATTCGCCGCTATCTCTCCTAATCGCTACAGCTCCCGCCTAGCCTCCGCCGTCCCTTGCTCCTCTCTGGCCCGCGCCATAACACCTCCGTCCACCAGCACCGCCGGCGTCCGACTCCTCTGACCACCATTGTCATCTCTTGCTCCAACCTTTCGGCACCTACTCGGAGTGACAGCCGGTAATCGTATTTTTTCCTATTTTGTGGATAATTGCGTTGTTTGGATTGGATAGTGCGTCCTTGAGCTGCGGTTGAGTTGGTTGGGTTGCTTGTGACCACGTTGTTTGGGTTGGAGTTATTTCGGGTTTACAGTTGTAGTTTGCATCCGCATCCCACTTTGTGCCTCTCACGTGTTTGATTGTTTGCCTGAGTGACGTTTCTACTCAACATGGTGAGGAAAGGAGCCGGTAACAAACGTAAGAAGACTGTCGGAGAGTCCTCTGCCTCTCGGGACACGCCGGTTGATTTACGGGCCGACTATGGTGCCCCCTTTCTTATTCTCTCGGAACGAGAGGGGGAAGTTTACGCTCGGCTCGCCCCGAAGGCGGTCTTGAAATCCAAAACATTCGACTTCACCTTGCTCTCCGACCTCGGTATTTTAGCGACGATTCAGCAGTACCTTGACACGCTTGGCTTGCGGAAGTATGCCGACGTTTTTCATCCGACCTATCAGAACCTCACACTCGAGTTCTTCCCTACCCTCGAGTTTCGGAAGAATTCCGATGGCTCCGAGTACATGACGTGCCGTTTGCTTGGTACTAAGGTGATAATTGATGCCGCGTCATGGATCGCGTCTTGGGCCTCCGTAATGTAGGCAGTAGCGGTTGGGCGTCTATGACTCCGTCTCGTTTCTGGACCGAGATTTCTCCCGACACGGTCTGGGACTCCCGTGGCATGGCTAATAGCCTCATTGAGAGCGGCGCGATTGCCGTAATGCACAAGTTCTTGTGCTATGGCCTCTTCGGGAAGAAGGAGGCGAATAAGGTCTCTCAGAATGATCTCGTCGTCATCTGGTCTATGCTCCGGAATGAGCCTCGAATGTGTTGCATATCTTCACGGACGAGCTCCGGGCTGTCACCCGGACTACGCGTACAATCGCCTGTTTTGGACATGTGGTGACGGCGTTCGCTTTGCATTTCGGCCTCGATCCTGTGGCGTCTGGCAGCCCCCCGGTTTTGATGCGGCGCATTGATTCTTTTGAGCTGTCGCATTCGGGCCTCATCGTGGATCGACATACCTTCGTGGCCTATCCTCAGCGTCAGGCTTACGCCACCTATGGGAACAAGGTAGCGGCCGCCGCTGCCGCCGCTCAGTCAGGATCGTCTCGTCCTCCGCCAGAGCCGGAGGTGATGGCGCACGATCAGGAGCTTATCGACGAGGACCATCGCCTTCCGCCGCCTGTTGGTTGGCAGCCGGCCCCGGAGGCTGATTTTCAGGAACCACGACCCGCGGGTTCGCCACAGCGCCCCGCCGAGCCCTCTGCTCCGCCACCGTGGTGGTCCCAGCCTCCTCCGTGGTGGTCGGCGTTCGAGGACCGCTACAATCGGGACATGCGCGACTTCAGTGCCCGATTCGACAGCGCCGACCTCCGCTTTCAGGCTATCGAGGCCTGGCAGACCCAGTGGGACGCGCGGTACACTCAGTGGAGCTCCGGCACCGGCCAGCCTTTTCCTCCTCCTCCGTCTCCTCCCCCTGGTCCACAGTGACTTGTCACTGCGTTGGTTAGCTTTTCTTTTTCTTTTCTCTTTATTTTGTTTCTCTTTTGTCTTTTCTCTTTGTTGTGTCTTGTCGGTTGATTGTGTAAGTACATCTTCCTTTCGCTGCGGATCGACAATGGGGACATTGTCTGACTTTCAGTGTGGGGGAGTTTATGTGGCTGCATGATTGACCGGGTCTAGTTGTTTTTCTTGTTTTAGGGTGTGTTTTATTTCTTTCTTTTGCTTGTGGACCAGTCTAGTGTAGGATTTTTGGAGTCTGTACTTGGAAAATGCATGATGAGTTAAGACATGTTTAATGAATTCGATGAGTTGTGATGATGGTATTTTATGGCATAGCATGATGAAATGCTTGGTTAATGACTTTGAGTGACACTTATATATTTACCTAGTGAGGTTTGAGCCCTATTTCTTTCTTGAGATACATTGGTCATGCTCCTGTTTGATTAGAACTTGCCCTGAGTCTGCTTCGAAATGAATCAATCTGAGTTGTGAACTGTGAATATGATTAAGGCATTTTTTGTATCTTTCTATCCTTGTTTTTTCTGCAGTTATTCCCTAGTTGCCCTTTTGAGCCTAATTGTTTTCTTTTATAACCCCGTGATGATGACATTATTGAGTTTCGGGTTGAGAATGGGAGGGGATAATTGTGGAGTTTGTTTATATATTCTCAAAAAAAAAAAAAAAAAAAATGTAACCGAATGGATTGTCATTGTCCAAAGAGGTTTACACAAAAAAAGAAAAAAAAAAAGTGACCAAATAGGGTCGCGAAAAGAAAAAAAAAGAAAAACAAAAAACCAAAAAAAAAAAAAACTAAAATAAGTTGGGTGTAATTGTGTGTTTTTAGGAGAAGTGTGGGGGAGGTCCGGTTTGTTTGAGTAACCGGATGAGCGTGCATTCTTGGGTTAGGAGTTTGAATTATGTTCGAGCCACTTAGCCTATATTTATCCTACCTGTCCAAAGAGCCTACGTTACAACCCTGAAAGACCTTTTGATTCACTAGTTGCAGTTTTTGATTGGTTTAGAGTAGAAGTTAGACAATGGGCAAGCTTATGATTGAACTTGTTATTGACCAATTTGAGTGCATCCATATTTTTATCTGTATAAGAAAGTGAGTGAGGCACACATATACATTCCCATATTTGAGTGGACGTCATATTGAAGTTTAGCGATCAAGCATGTAGTCGTGTTATGTTCGTATGTGCCATCTGAACGCTCATTGTTGAAGTTGAACGTGTTGAGACTTATCTTGTTATCGACTGATGTCCAGACTCGTTTCTTGTTTCGTGTCTTTCCTTTTCTTTTCTCTTTGTTCGGGACGAACAAAGGTCTTAGTGTGGGGGAGTTGTTTGTCCCATTTTTGTGTCTTTAATTCATGCTTATTTTCTTTTCGTTTTCCCCCATTTGTAGGATTTTTGTAGTTTATTTGGTCCATTTCGTTCGTTTTGTGTTTTTGTCTTTAGTTTATATTTTTGTATCTTTTTGCTGTGTTTTGCTTCGTGTTTTTCTGTGTTGTGTTTTCAGGAGGTAGGTTGTGCCGGTCGAGGTTAGAATTGCGTGAGCCGAGACTGTGATATCAAGAACATCCGTTACCGAGCCCAGAAAACTCGAGGAAGGACTGAAAAAGCCGACAGAAACTGTGCCCAGAAAAAGTCGCGACTCGCGAGATGTCTCGCGACTCGCGAGTCAAGTCGCGACTCAAGCGAATGTCGCGACCCGCGGAAAAAACAGAGGCTTATGGTGCAGTGTCGAGCAGAACTCGCGACTCGCGAGATTTTGTCGCGACTCGCGACACAGAGTCGCGACTCGCGAGATATTTCGCGACTTAACCCCAGAAATTTATATTTTGACGGCGCGCGACTCGCCAGGAAGTCGCGACTCGCGAGCGAAGAAAAGGTCCATCTCGCGACTCGCGAGTAAGTCGCGACTCGCGACTTTGTCGGGCGCGAATTTCGAGGACGGGATTTTTAGAGCAGAATTCGACCCTAGGGTTCATTATTCAGTTTTCAGACTTCGTTTTTACACTTTTTCTCTGGAGAAAACCATTCCTTTTCTTTCTTTTGCACTTTTGATTGGTTTTGGAGATTGAAAAACTCCTTTTCTTCGATTTGAATCTGGATTGTTCATTGGATTTGACATTGGATTCTCTATATAAATCGTAAGTTATTTTTCTCAATTCCTTTGTTGATGATGATGGCTTGGGTTTGTGTGAATGTTAATGTTGAATTCCATATGAGTAGCTAAATCCACTCGCTAGGGATAGGGGATGATTGATTAGGTTCGTTATAATTGAGTGCTTTTGATTGTTCATGTCTATTCGAGTTGTGTGAACCATAGGGTTAGGAGATTGATCACCTTTCTAGCCTAGATAATCAACGTGTAGAACCGAGAGGGGAGACGTTGGTAGAATTAGGCTCGTTTAGAATAGATTTGTTCGGAAGCGTATAATCTATGAGTTGTTGGACTTGATAGTTAATCGTTAACGTTCACTCTCTTGTTACGAAGAGTTATTGAGAGTGAACCTCTGAACGAGAAACGACTCAAGACCTTTAACCGAGCAATCAATTGCCGGTTATTGTGTTAGAACCGAAAGCAGTTATCCCCGATTCCCTAGCAATTTATTCATTCAGTAAATTCATTAGCTATTTGCCTTCATTTAATTTAGTTTGCATCAGTAGTTGGTAATTGAAACCCCAAGTATTGAAATAGAGTGTTTAGGAATTTTTCTTCTATTTTTCGTGACTGAATATACGCACAAGAATATCCGGCTAACCTTCCTTGCGATACGACCCGGGGACGAATCTTTCGATTCTACTCCGGTAAAAATACTGACAACAGTCGAGTCAGTGAAAACCCACTTCGAGCTCCCCCAGCCGGGCGTTGCTCCCATTATTCAAATCTCTCTAACGCAAGGGGAGTCATCGGTAGGTCAAGCGGATCCCCTTGCCTCGGGGGTCGAAGTTGGTGCCCTGAGTCTAATCGTCGAGCAAGCGGCCTGTTCTGCTCCTGAGCCAACCCCGACTCCTCAAACCGAGCCGACCTCCGAGACGGACAAGGCTCATGATGCTCCCCAATAGATTTTTATATAATGTTGTATTTTTATTTTTGAACCTTTTGTTGTAAAATCGACTGTGTAATATTTCGTTTGTTTGAATGAATTCTTTACCATTTTTCTTATTCATGTGTTTCAACAATCGACCTATCACCAAGGTCTTATAACCATAATAATTTTCCAAGTAAACCAAATCAATTGCCACTTTGATCAACCTGCCACTGAGGTCTCCAACCTTTTTAATCAACCAGCCATTGAGGCCTTCAAAGTTTGTTTATGACAACTGGATATTTGAGTAGAAATTGGATTAATTACTTGACCCGCCACTGAGGTCTTCGGCATTGATTCCTCCTTTCCA